AGTCTATAAATACAATTTCCACTACCAGTCGCTTAGTTTTCTTTGGTTTCTTTAGAAGGTAAACCAAGGTTAACAATGCTAAAAACAGAAGGCCAAGTCTTACCTTCTATCTGAAATCTGAATACCTTGAGCTTTTTGACTAGCTCAAATTCATATTCTTTATAGTCTTCAAGAAGGTTATTGAGTGTATTCACCATATATTCATCAAGTTTAAGTTTGTCGTCATCTATATGTCTAATTGGAAATCGAGTAGGTACTCTAGAAAACTCAAAAATTAGGAGTTCTTGTCATCTGTGCTGACGAGAGACCCAATACCATCAGCCTTCAATCCAATTCGCTACCTTTTACCCTTTGCTAGTTTGGAATTTCGTCAGGTAGTTGAAGATGTACTTGAAATTTTACCCCTATAATATTTGTTTTCAAACAGGAACAAGCATTAAACAGTAAATTACACAGATAAAAAAGTGTAACTTATCACCTTATATCCATCAAGTTCTTGAATATGAAAATAAATGGTTTGATAATAGATTCTATAAACCTTATACGAAATGTTGATTTGTTAGCTGATTATTGTGAAAAATATTCTGGTCAGTTCTCAAGACAAAAAATACTATTATTTCAATAATTTTAGTTAAGTATAGGCTTGATTTATCTTATAATATCACCATACCGACAGTACTTACAAGTGCTCAAAGACTCTATGTGTATATTTATTCACATCCATAAGTGAAGTAGTTCCTTGATAAGATTTAAACGAGTCTCATATTTTTTGAATATCAGAATCTTTCAAATAAAAGTCAAGTTGTTCTTCTACAAAACAAGGTAATTCTATTAGAATTTTCGTGATAGTAGTCCATTCGTTATCAGAGCAGAATGGAGGTTTGATTTAGTTTGCAACATTGTTCAAATTAATAATGTGCGCATAATATGTTATATGCAGAGGAGGATCAGAGCAGGCTAAATGCGAGAAGTACTATTAAAACGCAAGAAACTATTTATACTCTTCTAAATTTTCATCACCTTTACTTTCTGAGTTTGTATAAATTGAACATGATACAGTTCTATTACTATCTTCGAGCTTGCGAGCTAAATTACTACTTCTCTTCCGAACCTATAAAATATTGGTAAGTATGTATATATCCATTAAAATAATGACAGTAGATTCTGAATATATATCAGTTCAGTAAATTCTTCAAAGTGTATAGTAAACAGTTCTTTGACAAGCCTAACTTTATTTTGTAATTTGTCAAGATTCTTCTAAAAACTAATAACAACTTGGAATTTAAGTTCTTGCTATTGAAAATGAAAAAAGTAAATAAAATTTGTTAAAAAAAATTATACATAAATAATAACTCTAAAAGTAAACAGAAACGAAACATGTATCTCAAAGGATCAAGCAAGGGATTGTAGTTAACTATGATAATAAAGTAGAGGATGGTATAACAGAAGATAGAATCCCATTGAAAGATAGAGATGAAAAGTAGAGAATTCTATCACAAAGTAAAAGCAGAGGATTACTGTGGCTTCCATCTTTCTCACTGGTATGCTCTTCAAAAGTAGAAGATCTTTTCCTATTTCTAAAGCAGGGGATGAAAACAAAGGGAACATACCAGCTTCTGTTAATTCCATATAAATAAAATACATAACTTTATAATTTTTGATGTTCTTATTTGCTAACTTTTAAATTTGTAAGGAAGGATGTTTTTTCCATATTTCAATAATGTTGTTAATCTAATTTCTGTGTGTCTGTTGTTTTTTGCTAAAGAAACGAGTATTTCATTTTAGACTACAAAAGTGTTTGTGGAGTCAGTTGGACACATTAGGCTTTTCTAATATTTTTATAAATGGTTTCAAAGTAACTGATTCCTCTTCAAAATTTCTCAAGAACATGTCTTGCATTTAGAACCTGACATTGTGTAAAAAAAGAAGATAGTTTCACAGAATAATACATGTGCAAACATTTATACAATCAACCAAAAAAAAATTTTGCTCAAATCACATAATGTTACATATATAATCTTTTTAGATAATAAATTTATTATTAATAGCTATAATGTCAGATTACAATATAAAAAGCTAATCCATAAAAATTGAATTGTGGAGTAGGAACAAAGAGGGAAGAATAAAGTATGAAAATATGCCTGCTGGAATTCTAGTCGAGAAGATATTAGCAAAGTCATTTGTCAATATATAGATGATCTCTAAAAAACATTTAAAATTATTAATAAATATTTGAGGGGTCGAAATTTTGTAATTTTTGATTTTACTAAAACAGTAGACAATCCTCTAGCAGTTAAGCTCAGTTGGTATACCCCATTAAAATTAAATAAATAAAGTGTGATATCAGAAATATAAAAACTACTTCAAGTTTCTTAATACATATATATATATATAAAGAATAAAATATGATCTATTCTCTCATTATTCCAGAGTTACTTAAAAACATATTCAGTTTTCTAGCCAAGGATAAAGTATTTTATTTTGCTTTATTTGTAAATCACCTTTGATATTACTGCAGTGTACCAATTCTATAGGAACACATTGAGTTTTTCACAGAAGATTATCAGCAAAATCAGTATGGTAAAAATAAGATGTCTCGAATTCTTTTTCTGTGATTGAGAAAGTTTAAAAGAGTTATGTGCAAAAAAAATAAAGCCACTTTATTGCTCAATAATATACCTTAAATTGGAAGGTTTACAAATCTCAAATACATTGATCAGTGCAATTCTACATATATATACTTTCTTATCAGTTAGACGACATGTTCAGTAATATGTAATTCTAATAATTTAATTATAGAGATCAGCAATGTACATCTTGTAATTAAAATTTCCAATTTCATATAAAACGTTGTTAACCTTGGTTTACCTTCTAAACAAACTAAAGAAAACTAAGTGACTAGTAGTGGGAATTGTATTTATATTTAAACACTATAACAATTAACTACAGCTGGACGGGTATTACTATTAATAAAGTAATGATAAGAAGGATTTGGATAAGGCGAATTTGGTTGAAAGAGGCTAAGGTGTAAGGTTTTATAAGGGATTTACTAGCTAAGTTACAAGACAACAAAGTTTCATCAAGAAACTAAACAAATTCATGGAGAACTTAATAACTTAACTGAAATCACAAAGCAGGATTAATTATTAAGTAACTTCAATACTGAGATCACGAAGCAAGGTATTATAATCAACAATTACTCTTATCACCAAGAAAAGAGTAATAATAACAAGAATTGCCCAGATCATAAAGCAAGACAAATAACAAAAAGGTTTTCACTAAGAAAGTCACAATATAAACTATATAATTCATCAAAAAAGATATTAGTTTATAAACAGTATTTTTATTTCAAGTTATTAGAATATTTAATTCTATGTCAACTGTTCCTTCAAGAGGAGTAGAAACAACTTCTATTTATACAAAAATTGGAACCATATTACGAACTATAATTATTAACTTCAAGAAAACTCTGGAAGTTTCCGTAACATTCCAATGCAATTATTAATGCTGGATATAATTTAACTAGGTATTTTTCTGGTAGTTACCAGAGATATTTTACCTTACATTGTGTAATGTTATATATTCGAGATATTTTATCTCTATTATGCAAATACTAATAAAGTGATACAAGAATATAAATATACTAAACTAAAAATAGATAAGATAATACATATATGAAATACTAATATAATAAAATAATAATAATAATAAAATGACCTATAATAGAAATATATATATATAGAAAAATAAAAAAACAGGATTAACAACGTAAAAATTATCAAACTTTTCAATTGAATATATCAAAATTGTATTATATAAATTTGTTTAAACTTAATAAACTTTATATTTTACAAGAATCTCAAGATCAAAATTTGTTAATTTTTAAGATAGAATTGAACTTGAAGAATCTAATCTTTCAGAAAATAAACTTCAACTATTAAATAAATATATTAAAGATAGTTTATCTAAAAGAAATAACAATGAAGATAATGATTTTGAAATATATTTTAATATAAGTTGCAATGAATTACATAATTTAGGATTATTTGTTTTTAATTTAAAAGGATATAATTATGCATATAAGAAACTTGAAAAAGAAATTATACAACAATTAAATGAAAATAGAGATGATAATATCAATTTATTAGAAAATATAGAAACTATAACTATTAAATTAACAAATGCTGAAGAATTTAATAAAACAACTATTATTAGTGAACAATTTACTAGTTCTTTTTCACCATGTGTTCTTTCTGATTTAAAAGATGACAAATTATAAACATGTAGCAAAACAAAAAATATTAAAAATATCAATTAATTAATTAGAGTTTGGCAAATTGATATACTTCTGTAATAGAATTTGAAAAAGAAAATTTATCACTGGGAATATGTATACAATACTTTAATTATAATCAAAAAAAATTATAGATCTAAAATAAAACAAATGCAAACTATTCAATAATGTAAAATTAAACAATGTAAATTTTTTTTTGCAATAAATATTTTTATTTTTATAGTCATGAAAAAGAATGTAAAGATTATTCATGAAATATTTTTAATAGAAATTTTCAAGTGCCATATATTGAATTTTTTCATGTGATTTATTTTGTGAATTACAAGAAATTTTTAGAAAAAATTATAATAAAATTTCTAGAATGTGATATATTTATTGTGAGTGTTACAAAATTAAAGGTGGATATTTGCATCATCGACCTGGTCCCGAGGAACAAATAATTACATGTAAATAACAAGATTTGTATATTAAAGATATATCTTATAGTTTGGAATTATTGGCCAAATGACTTAATCATATTGTAAAATTCAAATCTGAAGATAAAAAATTAAAAATATTAAGTGGTATATTAGTTTTCACTATTAATTTTAATTATATACCTTCTGAATTATTTCCATTTAATTATAAATTTTATAATCTAACAAATAACACATATTTTCAGATCAACTTAATAAAATCCGAACTTCTTAAATATTCAATTTTATTATTTTCTCAGGTACCTAGTTGTTTTAAAAATATTATTTTAATTGAATTATATTATAGAAAATATTAAAGTTGAACCAGAATAGAATGATGATAGATAGAAAAAAACAGGTACAAAATTAGTATAATAATTATGAAAATTTAAACAAGAATTAAAAGAAAAAAAATCAGAATTACAATTATCATTCTTACTTTTAACATATCACTTTAACTTGCTTACATTTTTAACTAATTTTTTTGATGAATTTTTTATTGAAATTTTTTAAAAAAAATTAGTTATTTTAAATACTAAATAAAAATAATGTAAAAAAATTTCAAATGCTCTTAATTACAAACATATTTCAAAATTACAACATTTATTGTTTTAATAATAATTAATATAGTATTTTCATCTTTTAATATTTACTTTAGTCAAGTAATGACTAGTTTGGGTGAAAAACCTGACACTGGTCAAAGTTTGACATATCGGATATCCAATAAGTATCATCTTATTCTCTAATATCAAACACTTATTAAGGACTTATCAGTTATATATACTATATATATTGGACACCTGTTTTTTAACTATTTTTTTTATATCAATTGGGTATCTGATTTTTTTATTCAATATTAAGAACCTATCAGTGATATATTCTTCTTTCTGATAAGTATTCAAATTTTTTTATTACACCTATCGGATTCTCCGATACTTTTATTTATTACATCTGTCAAGTACCTAATAAGTGTAGTAGTCATACTATATTTGAATACTTTTTTCAAATAAATTATATAAATTAATAACTTTATTTATTGCTGCACAAATTTTATACAATTTTATATAATATATATATAATATATCTGATATATACTTGCACGCTGTTGACCCTATTTCTTTATTTTTTATATATTTTTATTACAACGTATTTTATTATTATTATTTTATCTTATTATTATATTAGTATTTCATATATGTATTATCTTATTTATTTTTAGTATAGTATATTT